GGGCAACGTGTGCGCCCTGGTGCTGGTGGCGCGCCGACGGCGCCGCGGCACGACAGCCTGTCTCGTGCTCAACCTCTTCTGCGCCGATCTGCTCTTCATCAGCGTCATCCCGCCCGTGCTGGTCGTGCGCTGGACCGAGGCCTGGCTGCTGGGCTCCGTCGCCTGCCACCTGCTCTTCTACGTAATGACCCTGAGCGGCAGCGTCACCATCCTCACGCTGGCCGCGGTCAGCCTGGAGCGCATGGTGTGCATCGTGCGGCTGCAGCGCGGCGTGCGGGGTCCGGGGCGACCGGCGCGGGCCGTGCTGCTGGCGCTCATCTGGGGCTACTCGGCGCTCGCCGCGCTGCCCCTCTGCGTCTTCTTCAGTGTCGTCCCGCAGCAGCTGCAAGGCGCGGACGAGGTGAGCGCAGGGCTGTGCGCGCCCGGCGGGTGTCCGGGGCGGACTGGGAGGCGGGGATCCAGCCCGAGCGGTGAGCCGGGGGTGATGATGACTGACAGCGACAACAAGCCATTTGTTGCACTCAATCGCTGTGTCCGAACCTGTGCCCAGCGCTGGGAAGTTTAATCTGTTACGACTCACTCCAACCCTGCGATGTAGGTCCGTAAACGCCTTCCGAAACGCTGTAAGAGGAGTCCACAAAATTCTTGCAAAATGCAATGACTGTTGCGAAGTTAATGAAATAACGGGGAGCTTAGGAGCCAGACAGAACCTCGGGGGTGCGAGGTGGCTAACCAGATTGTATGGGATTCTGCTTTCTCGCTGTGTTACAATACTGTTATTAACACACCCACCTTACAGGTGAAAAAGTTGAAGCACACAGAGGAATAACAATTTTTCCAGAGTATTTCACGCTTAGTTCAAGGAGCTGGGCTTGTGCCCAGAAGTTTCCATATGGGTTGGGTTACGGTCCTGCTTTGAAAATTCGCGGGCAGGCGCGTGCACGTTTACCTGGGAGAAAGGGCATTGGAGACCCAGAGACCCCAGACCCAATGCTGCTTTTAGGCGGTGTATAAGTTCCCCTCGGGGATCCTGTTTTTCCAACTGCAAGACGGAGGGATTACTCTAGACCACGAGATCTTACCCCGGGAGCTTTGGATGGGTGGCTTGAGAGTATCCAGAGCGCCCGAAATGTTACGAAGTTTCCAGAATCGGAGCGGATGAGCTTTATTCCGGGCAGCGGGCCCACAGTTGTCATTAGGGTCATGGGGACGAGGGGGATCATGTCCTAAAATATGTTCCGCAGACAGTGCAGGACATTGGTTCGGGGCCCCACGAGTCCCACGGTCCGAAATCCCGGCACCGTCTGTTGGTGATGCCTCCCTGTTCTGCGGCTACGGGGTTCGTGCGCCGAGATTTCAGTCCTGACGCCGGACCTGGTCTCGGGGTCGCGGTGGAGGACAGTGGCCGCCAGGTCTGGCTGTCTTCCCGGTGTGTTTGGTTCTCCGCGCCTCTAGGGAGAGATAGGGAAAGGACGTAGGTCTGTGCGCCCGACTGGGAAGCGTCTGCCCCAGGCTGGGTTTGGGGTCCCTTCCTTTACCTACCGCGGTCACTGGTTTTTCGGTCCGTGGCACAAGCGCAAGCTCCCATCCCGCCCTTAAGAGGGAGTGTGGGTCGCCCTGAGCGATCCTGGCATAAATAGGAACTACAGTCCCAAAGAGAGGCTCTGGTAGTGGTCAGAAAAGAGATAGGGAGGCAGGGGGGAGGGAGATGTCACCCGGAAGGCTTTGAGTTATGGAGATGAACACGGTCCGACCAGGGACGCCCCCTGGGTGTGTGGCCCTCCAACGCCAGAACACAGAGGTGGGCTCCTCCGGCGTTTTCCCCAGACCTATCTCTCACACAGGCTTTTTACTGGGGGGTGGGATGGATGCAGTCTGCAGCCTGTGCAGTCAATCAGTATCATTTTTTTTTTTAACATAAATCAAACTTAAAAGCCTACTCCTAATATTTTATTTCTTGTGTGGAGTACATTGTGAGATGTTTGTTTGTTTATGGCCTTGAATGACTAACAGGCATAAATGTTATCAGGCCTATGGCACTTGATCAAAGAACATGGCCATGTCCCCTCCTGGGGGGCCAAGAAAGCCAGGATCGGCTGAGCTGGGGGGTGCGATTGGCATGGGCAGACCAAGGACTCTAGCTGAGTGGGCAGGCTTGTCTTCTCAGCCCAGATACACCCGAGAATCAAGGTGGGCCACACAGATGCCTCTAAATTAAGTGAAGCCCAGGCCTCACTCCAGACCTGTTGAATCAGATGGGGACTGGGGCTGTGCCATTAGTTTTTTTAAAAAAAAATTTTTTTTTAAGTTATTCTCTCACTGAGTTACAGTATTTCTGTATTTTTCATAGAACTCGAGGAATTTCTCCCCATTTTTTTCTTACAGAAAAAATGATATTTGGGGAATTAAAGACCAAATAGGATGTACCTTAAGTATTCAGACCTGTATTTTGTGCCTTTCCTTTTACAATCGTTTCCGGTTAAATCCCACTTAACTGTCAAATAACTAAAAGATGAGGCTCTTATCACCTCTCAGCTGAAGACCCAGACTAAAGCTGTGCTGATGAGGACACAGGTGGTTGTTTGAGCCAGAAGGCCTTCACACAGATGGGACCTGTCCTGTTGTGGCCGCTCTGTATTTCACTCCTGGCAGGGCATCAGTGTGTGTTTGGAGCCTTCTACAGCATTTTCAGAATGGTCAGAGTTGGACTGCAAGGTGCTTCTGTGGAGATCTGTGTTGTGGCGGCTGGGCACCTAGACCCCTCTCGTTTTAATGAAGAAACACCTCCTTGGTTTTAAGAGCCTTTGGAAAGGGATTTGGGCAATGCATCTGGGGGAGAATGGGCCTGCACCCGCTTCAGAAGATTGGGGGCCAAGTGAATTAGTTACCTGCAGGAGCCTTATTGACTGAAATTAGTAGAGGTGGGGCAGGGAAGCTTGTAATGAAAAAGATGGGACAGTCCTTTCTGGCTCTCCATCCTCCTTGTCTTCTCCCCTACCTGTCCCCCACCCCCCATCACACACACACACGCACACATGCACACACACACACGCACACACACAAACACGCACACACATGTACGCACGCACACACACGCACAAATGCATACTTGCACCTGCCAGGGGAGCCAACAAACAGAAATACTGCCAGTTCTTCAAGGGAATTCAGGATGTAGGAAACATCCCATTTTGTAAGCTCAATGGTTGAAGAAATAGGTTGAAAAAAAATGAGACAAAAAAAAAAAAAGAGTGTGGTCATTTGAAAAGAGGACAGACAAGGATCTGGCCTAGACTGAACCGAGTCTTACATTTAAGATTAGCAAAGGGCCGGCCCGGTGGCGCACTGGATAAGTGCGCTGCTTGGGAAGCGCGGCGGCGCTCCCGCCCAAGGGTTCGGATCCCACATACAGACCGGTTCCCGCTCACTGGCTGAGTGAGGCACGGGAGCAACACCGAGGGTTGCAATCCCGTTGCCGGTCCCCGGTCCGGTACGGGGGC